GCGGGACGGCCTACGCGCTGTCGGTCGCGTCCGGCCGCGTGTCGTACGCGCTCGGCCTCACGGGGCCCTGCGCGTCCCTCGACACGGCGTGCTCGTCCTCGCTCGTCGCGGCGCACGCCGCCGTGAGCGCGCTGCGCCTCGGCGAGTGCCCGCGCGCCGTCGCGACGGGCGTCGGACTGCTCTCGGCCTCGGCGACGGCCGCGTTCTCCGCGGCGGGGATGCTGTCGGCCCTCGGGCGATGCCACACGCTGGACCGGCGGGCGGACGGCTACTGCCGCGGCGAGGGCTGCGGATCGTTCCAGGTGACGACAGGAGCCGGGAGCGCGCGCGTCGACGGGATCGCCGTGCAGCAGGACGGCCCGAGCGCGTCGCTCACGGCCCCGAACGGGACGTCGCAGCAGCGGCTCCTGGTGGCGATCTCCTGGGCGTCGGCTCGAGCCGTAGCGCTGGAGGCGCACGGCACGGGCACGGCGCTCGGCGATCCGATCGAGATCGGCGCCGCCGCCCGGGCGCTGCGCGCGACCGGCGGGACCGCGCGGTGCTCTTCGCTCAAGTCGAACGCGGGCCATCTCGAGGCGGCGGCGGCGGCAGCGGGCCTGGCCGCTCTCGTCACCGTGTCGACCTCCATCGATCCTCCAAACGCCCAGCTGCGGCGCCTGAACGCGCACGTTGGGTCGTTGGTCTCCGGAGAGGATTCGCGAGCGGAGCTCCCGATCGAGGCGACGGGGCGACGGGCGTCCGCGGGTCGGCTGAGCTCCTTTGGCTTCAGCGGGACGATCGCGCACGGTCTGTACGTGCCTGGCACGGTTGCCCGCGACCTTGTTGGTGCGTTGACCGCCCAGTCTCTCTTTCGTCGAGCATCTCAGATCGCGCGCGCGGGCGTCTACCAGACGTTTGGCGGCGCGTCGGCTCTGATCGCGGCCCTGGCACAGAAAGCTCTGCGCGGCGCAGCATATGCATACTCGCAGCCAGCACGAGTATACAGACCGCTTCTTGCATCGCTGTACTTCCGCTCCGCGAGCATGGGTCTCGCAACCTCACCAAGCATGGCGACTCCCGTAGTACTCAGCCTGGCCAAGACCCGGACTCGTCCGCGGGCGAAGACAGTCTCGAGGATGCGACTCGCGTTCTTCCACGGCATGGACACGTACGCCGAGTTCCAGGTCGGCTCGCTGGCCTACCAGGTCTGGACGACGGCGCCTTTCGATTGGGTCACCGCGAGCGCGCCGCACCGAGGGGCGGACTTCTCGACCGGGGCCGGCGGCGGGTTTCTTCGGAAGAAATTCGGGTACGAGCCCCGCAAGTCCCGGTCTTGGCGCCTCCTCACTCAGTACTCGCTGAATAGCTCGAGTCAAGCGTCGATGTTCGCTCGCATCCGCGAAGCTACGGACCAGAAGGAGGACACGTACGGCACGAGCGACGGCTGGTCCGCGTCGGTGGCCTCGGTCAGGAGATTCGCGAACGAGCAAGCGCCGCTGGAGGGCTTCGCCGGTATAAGCGAGGGCGCTACCGTCGGCGCCGTGCTCCTCGCCGAGCATCTGCGTGGCATCATGGACTTTGGAGCTGGATTCGAGGGAAGGAGCTTGGTCGGCGTCTGCGCGCTCACGTCCCCCGCTCACGCGCGAATGTACGAGGACTCGATTGCCGCTTCGACGCTGCAGCTCGTCGGCAGCGCCGACACGTTGGACGTGCAGCACATGGGAGGCCGGACGGCCGCAATGTTTGGGCACGGAGCGAGCGTCGTGTCGTTCTCCGGCGGGCACAAGCTCCCGAGACTCGCGCCGCGCCTACGAGACTCGTTTGTCTACTTGACGTCCAGCGTCTCCCGCACGAGAATGCGAACGTCGACCATCATGGCCAGTGTGTGTCGCTCTCAGCGGCCCCGAGCCTCGTCGACGCTTGTGCCGCGCCGCGAGGCGGCGACCGCTCGTCCCGTGGATTGTCGTTACTGGCCGCGGCCCCGGTCTTCACGCGCCGAGTGGGCGAGCCAGCAGGCGCTTTGCCTGTTTGACGCCTCGGTTGACGATGTTCGCTTCATTCACAGCATCTCGGCTGCCCGCGCTCTCATTCTGCGCGGCGGCGATCTGAAAGACGCCTCCGATGCGACGCTTCCGATCCTGGCCATTCTCTAGCGAGGCTGTACCTGCTTCGGTGACTGGTCTGTTGGTATTCGATGCTTCCCCGAAGGAGCGAGCGCCGTAGCGTGCGACGAGTCGGACGCCGTGGACCAGGCGCGGCGCTTCGTGTCCGCGTTAGCTCGCGCGCGGAGTGGCGCCGCGGGGGCGACGCTCTCGTAGATGCGTTCCGAGCCTGAACCTCGGGCGCCTGCTCCGTCAAAGCATCGAATTACTACATGCTCGATCTCGGCGAGCAGCAGCGCTGTCGTGGCTGAACATCATTTCCACGAATGTCCGTCCGGAGTCGCCGCGCGCGGTCCCAGAGGCAGCATCTACTGCGCGCCCCTTTGGAGAAGAGAGAGATTCCATGCCACGGAGTGGAGAAGCGGCGGTATGATGCTCACCAACGATCCGCGGACGCCTCTCAGCAGCTGGACCGGGGCCCGCGCGGTCGTCGTCCTCGGAGACCCCGCTCGCTCGGCCCGCGTCGATGTCTGCTGTCCCGTGTTCTTCGTCGCCGCGCGCCACCTGAACGCAGCTGTTGATTTTACCTGCGGCGACACTCGCCTTGCGCTACTCTGTGCCGAATCATTCGAGCGGGCTGCGTTCTCTCGAGTCGCCGCTTGCTTGATGACCAAGACGCGAGCCGTCGCCGCCGCGGTCGAAGCGCGGTTCGAGTCGAGCCGAGGAGACACGTGCGATGCCGTGGAAGCGCGGGCACGGTGTGCAGTTGATCACATCGGCGCGCTCCGCCCGCCGACGCGAGACCCCGCAGCACCTGAACAATGGTCGCTGGCTGCGGCTCGAACGACCTCCATCGGAGCGTCGTACCTCGCGCCCGTTCGCGAAAGCACCGTCTCGGTCTGCTGGGACTCGAACGACGTGGCCGTACTCGAGTTGGACGACGCTGACACGCTGAACGCCATGTCCGCGTCGCTGCTTGCGGGTCTGGCGCGACGCGTGCGCGAGGCGTCGGCGTCGACAGCCCGGGCGGTCGTCCTCCAGGCCAGCGGGCCCCACTTTTGCACGGGCGGTCGCTACGCGGGCAAGCCGGGAGCGGCTCCTTGGTGGCTCAAGGCACGAGGTGTCTATGGGCCGTCTGTCGTCTTGGACGCATACCGCAGGCTTCCCCTGGCGTCGACGACGGTCTGCCACGGGACCTCCGTGGGTGGTGGATTCCTGTTGGGCATCGCCGCGGACCTTCGCGTCTCGACGGTCTCGGCCCGATTCCGGCTCGGTGTCTCCCCGCACGGTCTCACGCCGGTCCTATCCGCCACAGTGATTCTCCCCGAGATGATTGGCGGGAGCCTCGCGGTCCGTCTGTACGTCGAAGACGCGCTCCTCGACGCCGAAGCCGCCCGCGGATCCGGGATCGTGCATCGCGTTTGTTCTAGCACCTGTGCGGCGAGGACATGCGCCATGCTTCTCGCGCGGTCGCGGGGGAAGGCATCGGGCCACCGGAGCTGCGAATCATCCCAGGAGGTCCTGCTGAACGTGGAGTCGAGCGTCATCGCGCTGGCGCCGGAGGGCGCGGTCAGGCGCGCGAGGGCCGCGGTCGCTCGAACGAAGCTCGCTTCGCCGTCCCCGCCGACGGTTCGTGAGGCACCGGCCGCGTCGACGACGACCGTCGTCATGTCGATCGTGGGGACGATCGTCGAGGACGCGGCGAGCATCGAGCAAGACACGCCTCTCATGGACGCGGGCATCGACTCGCTCTCGGCCGCGGACCTCGTGCGGCAGCTCTCCGCCAAGTTCAGCGTCGAGCTGCCGGCGACGACGCTTTTCGACTATCCGAGCGCGTCTGCTATCGCGACGCACGTCACGCGTGCGGTCCCGGCCGTGGAGCTCGATCTGGTCGAGGCACCGCTGCGGCGCAAGATATCGATCGACGCGACCAGACCGGAGCAGACGAGACTGAGCACAATAGCTCTACGTCTCCCGCTGGCACTCATGTCCACGCGAGATCTCGTCGGCTCGTCGCAGAGGGCGCTCTCGGTGGCGAGCTCCGTGCCGGTCGCTCGGTGGGACTCGGACTCGGTCCAGACCAAGGGGCTCAACGGAGACCAGAGACTGCGGCTCCGATATGGCGCGTTTCTCCGCGGCGTGCTGGGCTGCGACGCTCCGTGCTTTCGGATTCGCACCTCGGAGGCGGCAGCCATGGATCCCCAACAGCACGCCGTCCTCTCGGTCGGGTACGCCGCGATGTCGGCGCGCGGTCGCGTCCGGTCCTCGCTCGCGAATGAGGACGTTGGCACGACCCTCGGCATGATGAACACGGACCACGCGAGAAGCGTCGGGAGGATCCCTGGTCCCTACGACATGACCGGGAACGGGGCCGCGTCCGCGGGCGCGCGCCTCTCGTTCACCTTCGCGCTGCGAGGTCCGTGCGTCGCGATGGACACGGCTTGCTCTTCGAGTCTCGTCGCCACGCACGTCGCGTGCCGGCTCATCGAACACGACGAGTGCGACGACGCGCTCTCCGTGGGCACGAACCTGATCCTGACTTGGACGGGAGCCTTCGCGACGTTCGCTGTCGCCGGCATGCTGTCGACGGGAGGGCGATGCCACACGTTCGACGCACGCGCAGACGGCTACCAGCGCGGCGAAGGCACCGTCGCTCTATGGAATACGTCGGAAGCAGCCACGCTGACCCACGTCGGCTCGTCGATCCTCCACAACGGGCAGAGCGCGACGTTCACGGCCCTCAACGGGTCGTCGCAGCAGCATCTGCTGCGCCGCGCCTCGACGTCGGGCTCGAACTCTCACGTGGAAGCGCATGGCACGGGGACCGCGTTGGGGGATCCGGTCGAGGTCGGTGCCCTGGCTGCGACGCTCGACGAGATCAGCGTCGCGTCTCTCAAGGGCAACAACGGCCACGCGGAGGGGGCCGCGGGCGCGGGCGGTCTCGCCAACCTCGCCGCCGTGCTCTTCGAGGGCGTCAGCGTCTGCAACATGCAGCTTCGACGGCTGAATCACACCGTGTCGGACGTGCTCTCGAGGCGCAGGCTCGGCTTGTCGGTCGCTTCGACGCCGACTCGCTCGAACGACGTAGCGGGCGGAGCGAGCTCCTTCGGCGCCACGGGAATCATCGCCCACGGCATGCTGCATTGCAAGCGTCGCGAGGGCGCCGCCGAGGCAGCACTCTCTGCCCCGTCGCTGTACCGTCTCGAAGCCGACGCGAAGATCGCGGAGGTCCGCGTTCTCCTTCGAAGCGCGGTCCCCCCTCCGCCCGGATCCGACACGGTCGCGTCGGTGGTCCGCGTCCGCGGGGCAATGGAGGATCACCTTATCAGCGGTGTGGTGCTGTTTCCGGGCGTCGGGTACGTGGAGATGGCGGCTTCAGACAGCCGGTCCTTGGTCTCGAGCATCGAGGGCCTGAGCTTCGTGCGGCCGTGCGAGTTGGCCCTCGACACCGAGCTTCGGTACTCCTGCTCCGCGGACGGGGCCTTTGAGATCGCGAGTCGTGCCGGCACCCACGCTCACGGAAGATTGGGCACGATCACAAGAAGCTCGGTGCCTGGGACGGCTCGCTTCGGGCTGTTCGGGTCTTCCATCGCCTCGCCAGCGCGGACGACTGGGCGCACGGCTGCCACGCCAGCCACTGGTCGCATCCAGCTCTGGTCGCGAAGCCGCGCTTCGAGCCTTCGGCTGCGCCCTCGCGTCGCCGACGTCACCGATTTGCGTCGGTCGGTCTCCGTCGCCCTCGCTAGGACGCGTCCCTCGGTGCAGAACGATGGGATCTCGCGGCGCATCAGAGACGCGATGTTTCGACTCCACCGGGTTCCACTCGTCGAGGCGCTTTCTCGGTCGACGGTCCCATCGGTGCCATCGGCGCCCCGCTTGGCGCGAGTCCGCCGGGCGGTCGTCTCCGAGGCTCGGCCCAAGGTCGAGTCAACGCGACAGGCGGCGCCCCGAATAGTGGCTGGTGTCGAAGAGCTGATCTCCGAGGTGCTGTATGACCTCCAGAGCACGACGATTGCTTCAGAGTCGCCGCTCGCGGACGCCGGGCTGGACTCGATCGCCGCCACGGAGTTCGCGAACAGTCTGGTCAGTCGACTCGAGACGGAACTTTCGTCGACCCTGCTGTACGACCACCCCACCATCACGTCGATAGCCAGCTTGGTGGCATCAACGAGTCCGAGCGAGTGTCGAGCTGTCGAAGAGAGGCCCGCCGAAGAGCCGCGGCTTTGCCCGTCGCTGGGGCAGCAGCCTTCAGCGCGGCCCTCCATCGGCCCGGTTCGTTCTCTGCTGCTGCCCGGCGCGCACTCGAGCACATCAGCTCTGAAGCAGCTGGCCGCTCTCGCGCTGGCCGCGAACTCCACCGCGCTCGTCGCTCGATCGCGAGGGACCCAGGCTGTCGGCAGCTACGGTGCGTTCGCGAGCACAATCAAGAGCAACGCGGGCGCATTCTCGATCTCGGCCGCGGAAGCTCGGGTCATGGATCCGCAGAGCGGTCTCGTCTTGGAGGGCGCGTACGCGACTCTGAACTCGCCGCGGGAGGCTTTGCGAACCGCGCCGATCGGCTTCTTCCTCGGTATCGCCGGCTCGAGCCTGCTGGCACCGAGTGGCGGCGAAGCCGAGACGAGTGCGTCTTTCTCGGTCTACGGCGGGACGGCCTACGCGCTGTCGGTCGCGTCCGGCCGCGTGTCGTACGCGCTCGGCCTCACGGGGCCCTGCGCGTCCCTCGACACGGCGTGCTCGTCCTCGCTCGTCGCGGCGCACGCCGCCGTGAGCGCGCTGCGCCTCGGCGAGTGCCCGCGCGCCGTCGCGACGGGCGTCGGACTGCTCTCGGCCTCGGCGACGGCCGCGTTCTCCGCGGCGGGGATGCTGTCGGCCCTCGGGCGATGCCACACGCTGGACCGGCGGGCGGACGGCTACTGCCGCGGCGAGGGCTGCGGATCGTTCCAGGTGACGACAGGAGCCGGGAGCGCGCGCGTCGACGGGATCGCCGTGCAGCAGGACGGCCCGAGCGCGTCGCTCACGGCACCGAACGGGACGTCGCAGCAGCGGCTCCTGGTGGCGATCTCCTGGGCGTCGGCTCGAGCCGTAGCGCTGGAGGCGCACGGCACGGGCACGGCGCTCGGCGATCCGATCGAGATCGGCGCCGCCGCCCGGGCGCTGCGCGCGACCGGCGGGACCGCGCGGTGCTCTTCGCTCAAGTCGAACGCGGGCCATCTCGAGGCGGCGGCGGCGGCGGCGGGCCTGGCTGCTCTCGTCACCGTGTCGACCTCCATCGTTCCTCCGAACGCCCAGCTGCGGCGCCTGAACGCGCACGTTGGGTCGTTGGTCTCCGGAGAGGATTCGCGAGCGGAGCTCCCGAGCGAGGCGACGGCGCGACGGGCGTCCGCCGGTCGGCTGAGCTCCTTTGGCTTCAGCGGGACGATCGCGCACGGCCTGTACGTACCCGGCTCGACGGCCTGCGACCTTGTTGGTGCGTCGATCGCTCTCTCTCTCTTTCGGAACGCGGCCACTTCGCGGGCCGGCGCCCTCGTCGCGATTCGTCGAGCGACGAGACCCCTCTCCGTCCGCGCGGCCTCCGCCGCCTTTGAGATCGCCAAGCGGCCGCAGCGCGGCCCGGTCCGGGCGACGACCGCCGCGCCGCCGCGACGGCTCTTCGCGGGGCGGTTCGCGCGGCCGGCGCGGTACGCGCGGCGCTTCGAGGCCGCGCCCCGGGGCGCGCTTAGCCGCCTCTGCTTCGGCCTCCTCGACGCGCGGCCCGGCCCGCCCGCCCCCCGGCGCCGCGTCGTCGTCCGGCTCGCGCTGCGTCCCGCGGTCGCGCCGGCGGCCGCGCCGCCGCCGGCGGAGCCGTCGACGGCGCGGGCCGCCGCCGCCGCCGCGGGGCTCCGCGACGCCGTCGTCGCCTGCGTGCGGCGCGCCGCGGCGGGCGGCGACGCGGCGGACGCCGCGACGCTCGACGACCTCGGCGTCGACTCGCTCGGCGCCGTCGAGCTGCGGAACGCGGTCGCGCGAGCCACCGGCGTCGAGCTCAGCGGCGCGACGGTGCTCTCCAGGGCAGCAAAAGAGAGCGAAATTCCCAACTTCAAAGGCTCCTATCTCGGCCATTTTCCACTCGTTTCGGCTAATTCTTGGACGAGCGATCATCTCTCGGAACGGTCTCGAAGCGTGGATGCTTTTTCCGGAACGCGCGCGCGCGGAACGCTCACGTTGAAGCGACGTTGAATCACCCTTTTGCTGCCCAGGTGCTCTCGAACCCGACGGTCGGCGCGCTCGTCGCGGCCGTCGTCGCCGCGGGCGCCGCCGCGAACAGCGAGGCCAACGCCGCGGCGCGGCCGTCGGGCGAGGCCGCGACGCGCGCGCTCCAGCGCGCGACGCCGCCGGCCGTCGCGCCCTGCCGCAAGATCCCGCGCGTCTTCGGCTTCGTGCTGTCGACGCCGCGGGCCGGCTCGAGCCTCACGCAGCTCTGCCTCAACGCCCACTCGCGCCTCTTCGCGCCCCAGGAGCTCTACCTCCTCGCGTTCGCGGATCTCCGCGAGCGGCGCGCCGCGCTCCGGGACTACGCGCTGCTCCTCGCGGGGCTCGGCGGCGCGGTCGGCGACCTCCGCCGCGGCGACGGCCGCGGCCTCGCGGCCTTCTGGGAGCGCGGGGGCGCGGCGACGGCCGCGATCTACGCCGCGCTCGCCGAGTGGGCCGCGCCGCGGTGCGTCGTCGACAAGACGCCGCCGAACTCCTGCGACGCGCGCGTCCTGGCCCGCGCGCCGGCCACGTTCCTCCGGGGCCGCTACCTCTGCGTCTTCCGCCACCCGGCGGCGACGATCGACTCCTGGTTTGCCTTCCTCGGGCGGCTCGAGGCCGCCCACGGCCGCGAAGGCCGCGCGTCGGCCGCGGACGTCGAGCGCGAGTGGGTGACGTACGTCGAGGCCGCGCTCGCCTTTTCTCGCCGTCGCGCGGACGCGCTCCGCGTCACCTACGAGCAGCTCGTCACGGCCCCGGCGGCGACGCTGCGCCGCGTCGCCGAGGACCTCTTCGGTCTGGCCTACGAGCCCGCGACGGCGGCGCCCTACGGCTCCGCGGCCGTGGCCCAGTTCGCGCCGGCGTCGGGCGTCGCCGTCGTCGACGACACGCTCCTGCGGCGCCGGCGCGTCGAGCCGGCGCTCGCGGACAAGTGGACGACGGTAGACATCGTCCTCGGCGGCCGCGCGCGGCGGCTCGCGTGGCAGCTGGGCTACGCGGTCCGCGACGGCCGCGGCGGCGTCCGGCGCGCGCCGCCCGCTCGGACGCGCGCGGCCGCGGCGCCGCGGCGCGCGGTTTTCGTGCTCTCGACGCCCCGCGCGGGCTCGTCCCTGCTCCAGCTCTGCCTCCAGGCCCACGACGGCCTCTTCGCGCCCCAGGAGCTCTATCTCTTACGCTTCGACGACCTCGAGGAGCGACGAGAGACGTTGGGAACGGGCGGCGGCTACGACGGCGGCCTCGCGGCGGCGGTAGCCGAGCTCCGCAATGGGGAAATGGCCTTCGAGGGCCACGCGGTGCCCCTGGTCTACGCGGCCCTCGTCGAATGGGCGGCGCCGCGCGTCTTCGCCGACAAGACGCCGGGCTACTCCAGTGCTCTCTCCACGCTCCGCCGCGCGGAGGTTGTATTCCTCGACGCGCGCTACGCGCACCTCGCGCGCCACCCGGCGCCCTGCGTCGCGTCGTGGCGGCGCCTCCTCCGCGACAACCGGCGCCTCCGCAACGACGCGGGAGAGGGGGAAGACGACGTCGAGGCGGACTACTGCACCTTCAACGGGAACGTCGCCGCGTTCCTCGCGGGTATCGCGCCGCGGCGGAAACGGCGGCTCCGCTACGAGGACCTCGCGCGCGACCCGGCGGCGCAGCTCCGGCCGCTCTGCGAGGAGTTGTTCGACATCCCCTACGCGCCGTCCATGGCGTCGCCCTACGGCACGGCCGCCGTCGCGACCTTCGCGGCGCGCGGCGGCGGCGTCGCGGCGACGGACCCGACGCTCCTTAAGCGACAAAAAATCGACGCGGCCGTCGCGGACGCGTGGAAGCGGCGGCCCTACGCGCCCCTGCGGCCGGCGACGGTGGCCGCGGGCTGGCGCCTCGGCTACGCGGCCGAGGCCTGGCGCGCGGGCGAGTTCCGAAGGGTCGACCGCGGCCCCTTCGCGGTCCGGCGGAAGGGGGCCGGCGCCGCGGGCGACGTCGTCGTCCTCTACGACGGCCTCGGCCTCCGCTACGGCGCGGGGCTCCGCGTGCCCGCGGGCTTCGGTTTGGTCTGCTGCCAGGCGCCGGAGCTCCGCGACGGCCGTCGCGGCGCGTCGGCGGGGCCCCTCGACGGACGAGCCGCGCGCGACGCGGGCCTCCTCGCGGCGGAGCTCGACCCCCCGGCGCTCCTCGTGGGCTACTCCTTCGGCGGGGTGCTCGCACCGTACCTGCGCGACGCCCTGGCCGCGCGGGGCGCGGCGACGCGCGGCGCGTTGCTCGTGGACCCGCTGCCCTGGGGCTCGTCGCCGCGCGACGACCCAAGAGACCCGGACCCGCTCCGCGCGGCCGCGGGCTGCTACGACGTCCTCGTCGCGCGCCTGGGCTACGGCGCCGCGCCGGCCCTGCGCGCCGCCGTCGACGCCGGCGACGTCAACTCGCTGCCGGGGCTCGGCGCGGAGCTCCGGCGGTTTCTCGGGAGCGCGGCGGCCTTCGAGGAGGTCGACCGCGTCGCGCGCTTCCTCGACGCGTGCGACACTGCCTGCGCCTGGGACTTTACGCTCGGGGCCGCCGTCTTCGTGACGACGGCCGGCGGGCCCGCGCACTTCGCGGCGCGGAATCGGCCGAACCGCGCCCACGGCGACGGCGTCTACGGCTGGTCGGCCGCGGCGCCGAACGCGCGCCGCGCCGCGGTCCTCGCCGGGGGGCACTTCGACGCCTTCCGCGGCGCGGGGAACCTCCGGGCCCTGGCGGCCGCGCTCGAGGAGCTCGCCTTAGAGGGGTAGGTGATTTGTTTGAAGTAAAGATTGACCTCAATCGCGGGTGTGGATGAAACAAAGCGCTTGTCCAAATTCCGCGGTGCTTCAAATCAAAGCGGCCCGTGCTGTCACAGCGCACCGTTGCCACCTCGCGCGTGCAGCGGTCGACGACGCAAGGCGCTGCACGCGCCGCCGCTGCGACGGCGCCATGAGCGGCGGTCCCAACCTCGAGCGGCAGTCGTCGTTCCGCGGCTCGTCGCCGCTCGTCGAGACGCGGCCGGCGTCGTTCCGGAGGAGCGTCGCCGTCTTCTCGCTGACGGCCGTCGTCGTCGGCGGCGTGGCGCTGCGCCTCTTCCCCGGCCCTAGGAGCGGCGTGCCGGACCTCGTCGCCGCGTCGCGCTTCGGCCATCGCCCGACGGTCCCGAAGAGCTTCCACGCGCGGCTCGTCATGGAGCTGCCCTACATCGGGCTCCGCGAGCCCGTCGAGGTCTGGTCCGACGCGGACCTGGACCTGCAGCGCGTGCGCTACTGGGACGGGCTCAACGAGTTCCACCTGAACCCGAAGGGCCCCGGCTGCGAGACCGTGCCCGTGAGCTACGACGGCGAGACGGGCGAGGAGACCTTCGTGGGCCTGCCGCCCTGGCCGCTCCAGGAGTGGTTCCCGGACACGCGGCTCTTCACGGCGGCGACGCGCCTCGAGGCCGTCCGCGGCGTCGAGTGCGCGGTCTGGGCGTTGGTGGAGCCGGACGCGTACGTCGACGGGGGCAAATTCGTGGGCTCCTACGAGCTCTACACGGACCGGGCCACGGGCCACCCCGTGCGCTTCACGTTCCTCGGGCACAACACCTTCGGCGTCGGCTCCCACTTCGACAACTACACCTGGGACTATTTGGAGGTCGCCGCGGGACCGCAGGACGCGTCCGTCTTCGAGCTCCCGGACGCGTGCGCGGGCGCGCCGCTCCTCCAGACCGACGACACACCAGCAAACGACGACGCGCCGCCGGCGCCGGGCCCGCGCCTCGACTACAACGGCCTCGGGAGCGCGCCCGCGTCCTACCTCCCGGGCGACACGACGGCGGCGCTGCGGAAAGCCGCGTTCCACGCGTGGGCCGACGACCACGGCCGCGGCGCCCACGAGCGCACGGCGGACCGCTACGCCGAGTTCCACAAGGTCAAGCGCTACGTCGACGCGCAGAACCGGCGGCTCAAGGGCTCGAACGCGACGCTCCGGCTCAACGACATGGCCGACTGGACGGCCGCGGAACGCCGAAACGGGCGCCACGGCCTGCGCCATTCTGCCGTTTCGCGCGCCGACGCGGAGCTCGACGGCTACCCCGGCGGCGTCTGGCGCTGGCACGAGCCGTCCGTCGCGCCCGAGGATTTGAAGCGGTCCGTCGACTGGCGGAAAGTCGGCGGCGTCGCGCCCGTCAAGGACCAGGGCACCTGCGGCTCCTGCTGGGCCTTTGGCACCGTGGCGGCCCTCGAGGGCGCCCTCTTCGTCAAGACGGGCGACCAGCTCACGCTCAGCGAGCAGGCGCTCGTCGACTGCTCGTGGCCCGAGGGCAACAACGGCTGCGACGGCGGCGAGGACAGCATGGCCTACGAGTGGATGCTCCACCACCAGGGCGTGCCGTCGACGGCGGAGTACGGGCCCTACCTCAACGCCGACGGGCTCTGCCACGTGAAGGCGGCGAACCCCAAGGCCATGCCGGGCCTCGAGATCAAGGCGTGGACGCGCGTCAACGACACGCGCGCCGCGCTCAAGGACGCGCTGTCGACGCGGGGGACCCTGGTCGTGCGCGTCCAGGCCACGCCCCTCAGCTTCTACTTCTACGGCTCCGGCCTCTACGACGTGCCCCACGCCGAGTGCTCGCGCGACGCCGCGGACTCGGACCACATCGTCGCGCTCGTCGGCTACGGCTACGAGCCCAGCGGCCTCGGCTACTGGATCCTCCGCAACTCCTGGTCCGTTCACTGGGGCGAGGGCGGCTACATGAAGATCGGCATGGACAACGTCTGCGGCGTCGAGAACACGGCCACGTACCCGACGGTCGACGGCGTCTACGTGCCGTGAGCTTTCTTGGCTTCTTCCGCGCGGCGCGTTACGCCCGCCGCCTAACATCATCGCTCTACGTTGTGGTGGTGTTTTGCTGTGCGTGGGGGTCGTGCTTCAAGAGAGCTCCCGGGCTCGTCCGGCTTGGCGATTTGAATCATGTACGCGGGCGACGACTCGGACGACGCCGAGGCCAAGCACGACTCGCCCGCGCGCAAGCGCAGCATCTCGGGCTCGGGCGACGATTTCGGCGTAAAGACTTTTAGGCTATACTTGCGCGTCGAGGCGCGCGAGGGACTTTGTCGCTTTCTCGTTGCCCTTGGCAGCGGCGCGCTCGAACCAGTACCTGGCTTTGCCGAGGTCGACTTCCGCGCCTTCTCCGTCCCTGTAACAGCAGGCAAGGTTGTTCTCTGCATGGTTATAGCCTTGATCCGCCGAGAGCGCGTGGTACCGGAACGCTTCTTCATAGTTCTTCTCAGAGTAAAGTAAAGACCCTAAATTGTTTTGCGCGACCGCGTCGCCCCGGTCTGCGGCCATGCGATACGGCTTCATCGCCTGCTTCTTGTCCAGCTTGACGCCACTTCCAGTCTCGTACATAAACCCAAGTTGTGTCATCGCGTCCACTTCCCCGAGCTCCACGGCGCGCCGGTATATCTTCGCGGCTTTCTTGTCGGATTTCACGAGACCGTAGTAACCGTGGCAGTACGCGGTTCCCAAATGCGTAATCGCTTCCGGCACCTCGTTCTCCACGTGGCGGCGAAGCCGCGCGAGCATCTCCGCATTCGTTTCCGATGGAATGCGACAGAGCGGACACGCGTTTTCGATCTTTTCCTCGCACGATCGGCAGACCAGCCGGCAGCAACAGACGCGAAGCACGCCCGGAGCATTCACGTCCCACTCCTCGAGGCAGATCGGGCACCGCGACCCGAGCCGTGCCGACAGCGGCTCCCGCTCCGGGTTCGCCTCGCGCCGCAGACGCGCCGCTTCGTGCTCCGCCGCGATGCGCGCGCGGATCTCGTCGGCGTGCGACCGCGGCGCGGGGCCGTAGACGACTTCCTTCGGGGGCGACGGCGGGGCCTCCGCCCGCGCCGCCTCCGCGACCCGGTCATCCCGAATCTTCTTGCACGCCGTCCGGTGGCCGCGGTCGCGCCAATCGATGCGTTGGCAGGCGACCGTACAATATTGAGCCGTGCCGCAGGGGCATGGGAGCTTCGCTTTCGCCGAGCAAATTGTGCAGAGCGTGCGGAGCTTAGCGTTCTTCACCCGGGCCATTCGCTGTTCATACTCCCGCTTTTTCACCATCCACTCCGGCTCCTTCATCTCGTCGCGATCGTCTCCCCCCGAGGCCATCGTGTGGTCGTCTCGGCGAGACTCTCGCCTCGCCACTCGCGCTCGCCAAGCCCGACGCGTCCGGGGGTGCGCCTCCCTGACGGCCTTGAGGCGGATCGAGCGTCGTCTGAAGTGAGTACGACGCGGCTCCTCGAGTTCGTTCAGGCAGGTGTTTTTAGCAGGCAAAGGGGGGGACCGGTCGGGCCGGCGACAACCGCGCGGGCGCGGGCGCGCGGCCCTCCGCGTCCCGGGGGGGCGGCCTACTTCTTGGACTTCTTGTCGGCGGACTTCTTGGCCTTCTTCTCGAGGGCCTTCTGGGCGTCCTTCTCGGCCTTGGCCGCGGCCTTCTCCTTCTTCATCATCGCGTTGGCCGCGTCGAGCTTGTCCTCGAGCTCGAAGATCTGGTCCTCGACGGAGCCGTCGCCCTTCTTGAGGCGGTCCTTGAGGCTCTTGAGCTGCTTGGTCATGCGCTTGATCATGTCGCGGTCGACGTCGGCGGCGGCCGTGACGGACTCGATCTTGTTGCCGAGCGCGTCGAACTTGTCCTCCTCCTGCGTCGGCGCGGCCTTCTTCTTCATCTTGGCTCCGCGAGCTCGCGGGCGCGGACGGCCTCCATCCACTCGGCGCCGGAGATGTGGACCTTCTGGTCGCCGGGGATCTCCCAGATCTCGGGCGCGATGTCGCCGAAGAACTCGGCGTTGTGCGAGATCATGAGCACGCCGCCCTCGAAGTCCTTGATCGCGCGCGAGAGCGCGCCGAGCGAGTCGCGGTCGAGGTAGTTCGTCGGCTCGTCGAGGATGACGAGGTGGGGGCAGAACCACATGGACGCGCCGATGACGCACTTGACCTTCTGGCCGCCGGAGAGGTTCTTCATCTTGCCGTAGGTGCCGAACTCCTCGTGGAGGCCGAAGTCGTCGAGGTGCTTCTGGATGCAGTTCGTCGTGAGCGGCTTGACGTTGCCGGCCTCGGCGGCGATCTTGTCGTCGATGGCCTTCATGAGCTTGAAGAAGCCGTTGGACTCGAGGACGACCTTGGGCACGTAGAGGTTCTTGTTGTCGTCCATGGACGTGCCGTCCTTGTTGGCCCACTTGACCTCGTACTCGTAGTCGCCGTGGCGCGTGCGGCGGCCGACGAGGTGCTTGATCTGGCGCTGGCAGTCGGGGAAGATGCCCGTTCGGGTCCGTCGGCGGGGGCTTCTGGCCGGCCTTGAGGGGCTCCATCTTCTCGAAGATGATCTGGCGCTCGCCCGTCGCGTTGCCCGCCTCGTCGAGCTCCGCCGCGAGCTCCTTGAGGTAGACGACGAAGTTCTGCTTGAGCTTGGCCTTCTCCTCGTCGGTCATCTGCGACGGCCTCCATGGCCTGCTGCTCCTTGTCGAGGCCGCCGGAGAAGCGCCACTGGATGTACTCGACGGGCGACATCTCGAGGTGCTGCTCGATGTGGTGGAACGCGTGCTGCGCGACGTAGGCGACGCGGCAGTTCTGGTGGCGGTAGATCTCCGGGGAGCCCGCGTCGGGCTTCGTCTCGCCGACGAGCGCCTTGATGAGCGTGGACTTGCCCGCGCCGTTGGGGCCGATGCACGCGACGCGCGACGCCTGCGAGAGCTGGCACGACACGTCGACGAGCGTCGCCTTCTTCGCGCCGGGGTACGTGAAGGAGATGTTCTTGGCCTGGATGATGGCCTTGGTCTTGGACTTGACGCCCTCGAGCGGGCCGGGCACGGGGAAGGTGAACTTCATCTCCGTGTCGTGGATGGAGAAGTAGGCCTTGGCCATGGGGCACTGCTCGACGAACTGGTCGAGGTTGCCCGTGTAGCGCTTGAGGCGCATGTTCTCGTAGTGGATGACGTCCGTGAGCACCTTGTTGAGGAACTTGGAGTCGTGGGAGACGACGAGCGTCGTCACGTGCTCGCACTCGGGGCCCGTGAGGAAGTCGCAGAGCCACGCCTGCTTCTGCACGTCGAGGTGGTTCGTCGGCTCGTCGAGGAGGAGGAGGTCCGCGTTGAGGAGGACGGCGCGCGCGAGGGCGAGCTTCATCTTCCAGCCGCCCGAGAGGTTGCAGATGGGCTTCTCGATGAGCTCCTCCGTGAACTCCATCTCGAGGAGCTTGTCGTGGATCTTCTCGCGGCCGAGCGGCGCGAGGATGGGCTCCTGGAGGCAGAAGTCGATGGTCGGCGTGTTCGCGTCGGAGCCGTCGATGTCGTGGTCGACGAAGCACGCGCGGAGCTTCATGAGCTCCTCGGCGCCGGGGAAGCCCGCGAGCTGGCCGCTGGAGATGGCGCGCATGAGCGTCGACTTGCCGCAGCCGTTGTGGCCGAGGAGGCCGTAGATGCGGCCGCGGCGCACGTGGAAGTGCGTCGTGTTGAGGAGGATCTTGCCGCCGTACGCGAGCTTGAACTCGACGTTGCAGAGGATCTCGCCCTCGCCCTCGGGGATGTCGAGGACGACGTCGCGCTTCGGCACGCGCTTCTCGGAGTCGTCCATGAAACCCTTCGTCACGTTCTTCGCGGCGGCCTCGTTCATGATGGGCTCGAGGTAGGCCTGGCACGTCTTCTCCCAGATGTGGAGGTGGAACCTGCGTGGGGGCGAGCGGTCGAGCGACACGTGGGCGCGTGGGGCGCGTGGGTCCGGACGGGGCTACGTAGGGACACCGGGTCGAACTCCTCGGCGACGCACGAGTTGCTCGCGAGGCTCGCGATGTACGAGAGGACGGGCTTGAAGGACTCGGCGACCTCGACGTTCTGCGCGGCGATCTTCTCCGAGAGGAGCTGCTCGAGGGCCTTGGGCATGATGTTGGTGGCGACCGCGTTGAGGCTGGACATGATGAAGAGTGCGGTCGCGAGGGTGTTGATGTGAGAGTGGTTCGGGCCTACGATTCGACGTCGTTTCGAGCAAGGTCGGGCGTTTCGAACGAACTCGAGGCGCCGCGAGAAGGCGTCGAAGTCGTTCGACGGCCGGTCCCGCGTCCCCCCCGGCGCGCCGAACTACCCCGCCGCGCCGTCTGACGTCGGGGTCAGGACGAAGGGCGCCGCGGTCACCGTCGAGGGTGAGCCGCGAAGGTCGTTCGGCGGCCGGCGGGCGAGGGGCCGGAAAAGCCGCGCGGGGGTGTGTGGGGTTCTCGAGCGGGTGACGAGAGAGCAGGGGGGGGGATGGAGTGTGGCAAGGGGGTGTGGGGGCGCGAACGACGAGGACGCGGGTGTTCGCGAGGAGGCGCGGGTAGATGCGGCTCAAATTTGTCGCCGACGACGTGGACTTTGCGTCACAGCAACAAAAACTGCTACTGCATCATTAGCTTTTGTGCGCCGGCGGTGCGCTGTCATGTGTCAGTCGCTCACGTTTTTTTCCAAGACGGGCATCATGCGCGTGAGCGGTATCCGGCCCCTCGGCGCGCCGGCGCGTGCGCGAGGCTGAGACGCGGCGCGCGGCTTACGCCAACATGAGCCGCGCGCGCGAGGTCCGACGTGCTTCGCGGAGGGCTGGGGCGGCACGCTCAGCACAGGAAAACCCCAAAAGCAGCGCGAATCGAGCGGCTCATCTCCAGGGGAGAGAACGACTTCTGACGCTGGGCCCCCGACGCGCGCGCGGGCACGCCGCCGAGCCGGACAAATTTAGCACAGGGTCCCACCAACTAGATCTATGCTGTCGCGGCCGGACTTCGCCTCGCGTAGGATGGCGTGCGCATCTCTCGGTCCCGATCGGGATTCGTCCTTCTTCCAGCCTCTTGTACTCCCGCGTGGGCCCGAGCCCGAGCAGGCTCCCCTCGAAGGGCTCGCATGAATACGAAGCATGCACCACAAGGGTCCGCGGCGACCCCGTCGCACGGCCCCCAATAGGTATCAACCGCCGAAACCTCCCGTGAACAGCGGAGCACTCGATGATCGTCGACCCCAGGCCAGAATCTCCAAGTCGTCACCTCGGTGGTCACACGACGAGACTTTGTGAGAGCGTCGTCACGAGTGAACATGCACCCCACGGTGCCGCCCTCGGGCGCCAACCGCGCCGCGACCGACGCTGCGGAGCGCGACGCGGCGGCCTGCGCCCAGCGCGACCGCCTCGGCGACTCCGAGCGGCAGCCGGAGGCTCAAGCCGCCTCCCAGCTCGCCAAGCGCTACAAGACGGAGACGTCGTGGAAGGGGTCCCCGTTCCTCGGGCGCAACGGCCCCGACGCGGCGATGCTCTACCGCTTCCTCGCCCAGTTCACGGCGTGCGACAACGCGAACCGATTCAAGAAGTTCAAGCAGTACTGCCGCATCGCGGGATACGACTACGAGCTCAAGAAGACGTTCCTGGAGACGCTATGTGTGGCGGACGACCCGGACGACGACGAGGACCTCGGCGTCGACATGCACGGCTTCATGGTCGCGCTGAAGAACATCGAGCAGTTCCAGAAGTGCGTAACTCGCGCGCGCGCGCGCGAAAAAACCTTCCCGACCTAATCCCGCTTCACAGGTACGCCAAGGCCGCGTGGGCCAAGGCCTCCAAGAGCGACACGGAGATCCCGGAGAAGTTCTACGACGAGCTCCGCGCCGCCTACGAGAACAGCTACGCCATCGTCCAGTCCAACGCCAACATCGAGACCTTCCGCATCGAGCTCGCGGAGGACACGACCGCCGTCGCGTCCAAGACCGCGAAGCTCCGGCGCCGCGTCGCGGAGTACGGGCTGGAGAAGATGTCGGGGGTGAACGCGACGGACAAGACGTGCACGTTCGTGGCCAACACCCTCCCCCTCCTCGAGCGCTAGGGCGGGGATCCCCATCCCTGAATCCCCCCAAACCCAAGTCCGAATCCCCCTAATTCTCCAAGAGGATGACTCCTAGATCAGGCCCTATGGGGGGCGCGCGCCTTCGTGTCACCGGGTCCGCCTGGGTCCGCGGGCGACCCGTCGAGGCCGGGCGGACGGCGTCGAGCGGGACCGCGACCGCGCGTGCGGCGCGAACGTCTGGCTCTGCGACGTGACCCGGTCGCTGCCCTCGGAGCCCCCGAGCACGTCCACGTCGCCGTCGTCGTCGTAGTTCGACGCCGTGAGGATGTCCGCGTCGCCGTCGCCGTCGACGTCGACGGCGAAGACGGACTGGCCGTCGTCGGCCAGCGTCGTGATCACGTGCTCGGAGAACGCGACGGTGCCCGACACGCACTCGACCGCCGGCGTCGGCGTGGGAGCGGGCGTGCACGACGTGTGGTCGTACCACGCAACCGTGTCGTCGTACTTGTCCGCCGACAGCGCGTCGACGTACGTCCAGCTGCTGGAGTCGGGCGTCCCGATGGACATCATGATCTTGCACGCGCCGCCGCGGCCGAGCCTCCACCCGCGCGCCGCGTGACTAATTGACGCGACCCAGCGCTAATACACGGGGACGCGGGTCGCGACGAGGAAGATCTCGCGGCGCACGGCTCGCCGCGGATTTCCGACGGACGCGCGGCGGGCGTCGCGCCCCAGCGAAACCCGTCGAAGGAGAGCACGCTGGCGCCGCCGCCGTCGTCGAAGGCGTCGTCCGCGGCCATGTCGTTCGTCTCGCCGTAGGAATTGGCGCCCGAGACGCCGTCGACGACGACGGATGTCCACAGAGGCCGAAAGGCATGCTCAGTGGCTTCCGCTGCGGCGCTCCCGCGCCGCCGACGCGCACACCGTTTTGCGCGCAGCTGGTGAGCGTCGTCACGGACACGGAGCACGGCGCGGCGACGGGTTTCCAGGCCCACGACGCCGGGAGACGCGTGTCGCAGCACGTCGAGAGGACCACCGGAGAGCGTCAACACTTGCACCATCTCTTTCAACAAACAGCGAGTTGTGTTTGACGTTCAACTAGAGACGCCGAAATAATTTATGACGTCCTACGCGGCGGGCCGCTCCGACGCGACGACGCGCGGGTCGCCGAAGGGCACCGGCGGCGCGCCCGGGCCGTCCGGCGCGCCCGGGCCGTCCGGCGCGGGCACGACGGCCGCCGCGTCGGCCTTCTCGCGCTCCGCCGCCGCCACGTCGCGCTTCGCGCGCTTCGCCGCGGGCTCGTACTGCGACTTCTCGGGCTCGCGCGGCGGCCCCGCCGCCGGGGCCGGCCGCTCCGGCGCGACGGCGGGCGCGTAGTCGCGGCGGAGGTACGACGACGCCGGCGCCGCGGCGGGATCGCTCGCCGGCGCCGCGCCGTGTTCGAGCGCCGCGCCGTGCTCGAGCGCCGCGCGGCAGCCGCAGCAGAACCAGGCCTCGTCGTCCGCCGGCGGCGGCGCGGCGTCGCCCGCCGCCTTGAGGCAGTCGACGTGGAACCAGCCCCCGTGCGGGCACGCCTTGTTGGCGTCGCACGCGACCATGTCGCCGAACTCGCCCTCGCCGCAGTAGCAGTAGCCGGGCGCCTCCGCGGACTCGTTCGCGGGCGACCATCCCGCCTGGCGGCACTCCTCGAGCGCCCGCGCGACGGCGCCGGGATCCTCCCGCATGGCATCGTTGAGCTTCGAGGCCAGGACTTCGGGGCGCGTGCCGTTGCTGTAGCTGTTGCGGTACGTATTCGGCGTCTCGACGCCGAACGCGACGAGGAGCACGGCTCGCACCTGCTCGCGGCGCAGGCCCTCAGAATTGCTATACTTCGCCTTGACCTGCGTCGCCCCCTTCTCCACGAGGTCGTGGAGGACGGCTGGCGCGAGGTCCTCGAGCTCTTCTTCGCTGAGTCCGCTCTGTTTGTTTCTCCCGCGCTCGCGCTTCGTCGTGAGCGCGGCCCACGTCAGGCCCATGAGCCATTCCGTCACGCGCAGCGTGTCGCCCTCTGCTATCGCCACGGCCCGGATCTTGCGCGGCCAGGGGCCGCCGCAAAAGAGGCACCAGTCCCATAGCATGGCCTGAAGCAGGTCGACGACGCGCAGAAGCCGTAGACCTTCGGCGACGTCGTCGGCCGCGGCCTCGGCGACGCCGTCGGGCGCGTCGGGCGGCACCGCCGCCGCGGCCTTGGCCGCGGCGACGGCGCTGAGCGCGGCGACGATCTCCTTGTGGACCTTGTACTCGTCGTAGAAGGTGCGCTCGTACTTCATGAAGTCGGCGTACTCCTGGGGCTTGCACAGGTCCTTGAGCAGGAACTCGTCGACGGCGAACTGGCTCGAGCCGGCCTTGGCCGGCCACTGGAGCTGCGCCGCGATGTGCGCGGCGCGGCTCTCCGCGACGTCGTCCTCGAGCCCGCGCGCGCGGATGTCCTCGAGGCGCTCGAGGAGGAGCGAGTCGCAGCGGTAACCGCGGAATTTACTTCGGAGGCGGGAAACATTAGAATAAGCTTGTGAACCGAAGTACCCGTTGCGTAGACCGAAGGATCGCCGACGAATGTTGATTTTCTCTTTCAAGCTCGAACCGATGTCGACGCCGACGAGGGGGCAGTGCTGCAACAACATCTTCTTGTGCTTATTGCAGCCATGCGTGTTATACCGGCCGTTCAAGAAGAGGTACCGCTGCGCAGTACACAGCCGTAAAAAATCGACGCGCGCGCATTTTAACTTGACTCGGAAGGCGCGGCCGCTGTTATAGCTTTCACTGCGACCGATGACTGACATCGTCTCGAGACGATCGCGTCATCATCGCTGCAACGTTGCCATCGAGACCGACACTGAAGTTTAGACGGGCGGCGCCGGACGGGGCGATGAATATTAAAACACGCACGCCCCCCCCAACGCACCAATATCAACAGTTGGGCGCGCAGACGTAGGACATGGGGATCTCGTCGTCGACGAGGTGGTCGGTCTCTTCGTAGTCCTCGCCGTTGTCGCCGAAGAGGTTCTCCGGCGCGGTGCGCGCGGGCGCGGCGGGCTTGTCCTGGCTCTTGCCGCAGAAGGCGAAGGAGAAGTCGATGAAGCAGTTGGCCTGGTCGTTCTCGAGGAGCGCCGTCGGGTCCGCGGCGGCCTCGGGCGACACTTCCGGCGGCGGCGGGAGCTCGGGCTCCTTGGGCCGCATGGCCATGGACCTGCGCGGCGGCGCGGTGGGGTCGCGGCGGCGCGGAGGGGGGCGGGCGCCGTTTCGCGGTGGGGTCGCGGCGGCGCGGAAAGGGCGGGCGCCGTTTTCGCGATCCCGCGTCGCGCCCCGGGACGCCGCGGACGCGCGTCGACGACGAGCCCTCGGAGTTGAAGCGCGTGACCCACTCGCCGAGGTCGTCGTCCGGCGGCGCGGGCGGTGGCGCCGGCGGCGGCTCCACGGGCGTGCCGACGGCGTCGACGCGGAGGCCCGCCTTGTCGCCCGGCGGCGCGCCGGGCGCGCCGACGCCGACGGGCTCGTCCGCGACGACGGCCGTCGCGACGGGCGTCTGCATGGGCTCGAAGGGCCGCACGACGACGGGCTCCTCGTCGCTCCGGATGACGACGAGCCGGTCCTTGGCCGTCATGTTGATCGTCGGGCCGATCCAGTCCGTCGCCGCCGCGGACGAGCTCGACGCGCAGCAGAGGAAGCCGCCCTTCTTCGGCGCCGCGGTGGCGACGAGGTCCGCGGCGGCCTCGTGGTGGCCCCGCTCCGCGGCCTCGCGGAGGAGCATGCGGCCCTCGGCCGTGTTCTTGGCGACGCCGCCCGTGCCTGGGCGGGAAACGGGTGATTCGACGTCGCTTCAACGTGAGTGTTTCCAAAACAAGCACGCTTCGAGACCGTTCCGAGGGATGATCGCTCGTCCAAAAATCAGCCGAAACGAGTGGAAACCGGCCGAGAGAGGAGCTTTCGCGCCCGTTTCCCGCCCCGGCCCGCGCCCTCGCAGACCATGTGGCCGAGGTAGTAGAGGGCGTCGGCGTCGCGGAGGCCGTCGTCGCCCCGCAACTCGAGGGCCTGGCGGAAGAACTGCTCCGCCTCGGGGTAGGCGCCGTCCTCGAGGTAGTAGAGGCCGACGCGGACGAGCGCCGGGAGGTACTTGGCGTCCGCGGCGGTCCGGAGCCACTGGAGGGATCGGATGCGGTTCGGGCTGCAGCCCCGGCCCCGCACGTAGAGGTTGCTCAGCAGGAGCTGCGCCTCGGGCATGTTCTGCGCGGCCGACGCCTCGGCCCAGCGGAACTGCATCTCGTCGTTGCGCGGCACGTCGCGGCGGCGGCCGTCGCAGAGCTGCGCGAGCACGAACTGCGCCGGCGCGAAGCCCGCGTCCGCCGTCTCCTCGAGCAGGGCGAGGCCGATGCGCGAGTCCGCCGCCGTGCGGTCGCTCGACGTGTGCTGCGCCAAATCGGCGTAGCCCAAGTGGCCCAGGGCCTGGTTGTACTGGTCGTTGAGCTCGGGCTTCTCCGGGGACTGCTGCGGCTGGACGCGCAGGACGAAGTCCGCCATGGTCCCCGGGCCGCCGACCGACCGGGGGGCGAGGCGACCTGGGAGGGCTGGCCACCAAAGCTGCCCACACCGAAAAAAACACGACCGCATCTTGAGCGGCGCTGCAGACTTTTTCAAGTCGGTTGGCAGCATGGATCGAGGCGGCCGGCGCTGAGCGGCGGCTCCCTCGTCGGCTCGGCAAGCGCCGCCTCGGATCGCGGCGCGGTCGCCGCCTCGGATCGCGGTGAAACACCGGGGCTGCCGACCATGGCGAAGACCGGCGGCCCGCCCCAGTCCCCGTCGGCGGGCATCTTCTCGGACCTCGCCGGGAAGCGGCGCGCGCAGCACGGCACGCCGGAGAAGGAGCCGCCGACCGTGAAAAAGCGCATCGCCTTCACGCCCGCGGCGACGCCCGCCGCCGAGCCCGAGAAGAAGCCCGCCTTCTCCTTCTCGAAGCTCGGCCAGCGGAGGCGCCAGTCCATGGTCGCGCAGGGCCTCGCGCCGGCGGGCGTGTCCACGGAGGCGTTCCTGAGCGGCGCGCGGGGCACGCCCGCCTGGGCCGCCGTCGACGACGCGCCCGACGGCGAGCCGCCGCCCGCGGCCGCCGTCCGCGACGCCGTGCCGGCGGCCCCGGACGCCGCCGACGCCGCGGACAAGGGCCGGGCCGTGCCCGAGCACAAGGTCCGCGCGCTGCAGCGGCGGCGGCGCACCGAGGCCCTCCGCGTGCTCGCGCGCGTCGTCGGCGCCGCGGCGTCGCGGCGGGCCGCGCGGCTCGCCGAGCGCGGGCTCCGCGCCTTCCTCGTCACCGCCGCCCGCGCGAAGAAGGCCGCGTCGACGTCGGCCCACAAGCTCGAGCTCGCGGCGCTCGCCGCGGAGCTCGAGGACCTCCGCGCGGCGGCGGCCGGCGGCGACGCCGCGGCGGCGTGCGACGAAACCGCCGCGGCGCTCGAGGCGGCGCTCGCGGACGAGCGGGCCGCGCACGCGGCGACGCGCGCCGAGCTCGAGGCCGCGCTCGAAGCGCGCGGCGCCGTCGCGACGGCGGCGGCGGCGACGGCGACGTCGCCCGCGGCGTCGCCCGCGAAGGCGGCGCCCGGCGACCTCGCGGCCGCGCTCGCCGCGCGCGCGGACCTCGAGGCCGAGGTTGCGGCCCTGCGGCGCGAGCGGGACGTCCTCGTCGGCGACTTCGCCGCCGAGACGCGGCGGTCCGCGGACCTCCTCGGCGCGGCCGTCGGCGAGCGCGACGCGCTCGCGCGGACGAACGACGCGCTCCGCCGCGGCGCGGCGCCGGAGACGCCGGCGGCGACGTCGCGCCAGAAGCAGCGT